ATCAACAACAACAACAACAACAACACAAACACTAACTACAACAACAAAAACAACAACACAACACAAACAAAACAACAACACCAACACCATCAAACAACAACACCAATATCAACACGATCACCGCCACTGCCACCACCACCACCATCACCAACAACACCAACACTAACACGAACACTATCAACAATATCAGCAAAACAGCAAAGGGATCAAACAACAATAATGACAAAAACAATAACAGTAACAGAAAATACAGTACCAACGAGGTCTTACAATGGGACACGTCACGAAATAGATAGTCACTTTAAAGCACATGGGGGCTATCTCGAAAAATGCTGTTTTGAGAAGATCGAATGTGAATTTTTTGCCCCTAGTTCAGTTTCTTTAAAAGACTAGGAGAGTTTTCTCTATAACCAAACAAATATGCACACCAATGAACCCAAACTTCTCCTACAGGTAAGGCAATGTCCACTTTTGGTGTAGGTCAAGATTTCTGGAAACCTCCAAAATCTGTGTTAGTCCGCTTGTACTTTAAAGCGACCAAGTATAAGAAACAAAATATTTATGTTTGTCGGGACTCGTTACAGAGAATTATTGCAAAGCAAATATCTGATTTTGGTACGAAGTCACACTTCTGGAAGTTCTAAAGCTGTTTAAGATTAGTATAATATTCTTCATAGCTTATTTATTTAATAATATGTGGTGTACTATTCAGTTGAGTGTAACAATTGAATAAGTATACTACACATATATAGAAAAATAATAATACTTTTCTCATATCAGTGTACCACTAATAGATGATTATACTGCACATATCTTAAACATAAGCTTAGAACAGAACTTGAAACGGCTCGGAAAACAGTTGGCGCAAAATGATACCCCAAAAAACAACAACAACAAAACAACCAAAAAAAAAAACGAAAAAAAACTCACATAAAAAACTCCTTTAAAAAAATTAAATCACCAAATTTAAAAAAGAGGAATGCCACCCTTACCCCCTCCACACCCGCGAAAAAACCCCCCAACACAACATTTTTCGTTAAAAAATGAAAACACAAACAAATACACCCCACCCCCCTTTCCCTCCTTCTCGAAAAATAAAAGACCACTGCTGCATGGACTACACAAGTTCCTTTTATTTATTCTCTGTTTCACTAAACCTAGTGATTCTAAACGTGGTAAGATTAAGATAAGATAAGATACATTTTTATTGTCCAGATCCTGGCACATTGGTTTGGGGTTTCACCACGTGCACACACACACACACACACACACACA